CGGGGCGCCGCGGCGGGCAAGGATCGCGGCCGAGGCCTGCTGGGGGCGGCGATGGGGACACGCTCTTTGTCTCCGCTGGCTCCAAAATGGCTGCGGCCGGAGCCGACGGGAGCGGACAGGGCGCCCAGCGAGCGAGGGAGCGGGGACGCCGTGCCTCGAGTACCCGGAGCCTCTCCGGGCCGCCGCCCGACCTGACCGTGCACCGGTGGAGGGCGCGGGCAGGAGTCCGGGGTGGGAAGGAGCCCGGGCGTCGGCGCCATTGCTCCGGGCGGGGCGGGGCGAGCGCGGGCCTGCCCTGCGGCCTCCGGCCGCGCGCTGGGTCCTCCACCCGGCTGTCGCGCAGCAAGAGTGCGGCGCCTGGCCGAGCGCGGGGACGGCTCCAGAGCCTGCGGGGCGCGGGCGGGAGGACCTGTGCGCCCCGACCCGGGTCCGTCCCCGGCTGAGTCAGACTGAGGCCTCCCCGGAGTGACCGCCATTTCATCCGGCCTCATGGTTCCCACACACGAGTGTCTTATAAATTATTAGGTGAGCCGACCGCGCCTGCGGGGACCGGTAGCTGGATAGGGTGCAGTCCGACCCGGAGGGCCCTTTCTGCTCCTCGTTTCCTGTAAGTCATCTGAAACCATGCTTACGAGCACCTCTATAAAAGATTTCAGAAAAAATTCTTCGGGTTTTTTTTTTGTTTCTTTGTGTTTCACCAAAACGTGGTGTTTGGGGACATTTCTAGTGGTATTCGCCCTTTTTTGGGAAAGACCAGAGAGAAGTGGTCTCAGGCCTCACTGGCAAAATGGGGAGATCAAAGGATGAGGTTCCTGCCGACGGGACGGTGGCCACAGGGACACAGACCTCAGCACAATGAGGGCCGCCCTCCCGCCACCCTAACGAAAGGCCCTGGTCCTTGCAAGCCCACCTAACTGGGCTGGTGTGCCGGCTGCACGCAGCCTTTCACACCCGGGGGCTGACTTCTGAATCGCCCTCCCGAGCCTCTAGACAACGAGCAGTGGGGACTGGAGCCCCGGAAAAGTGCTTCCGCGGGGGACGGTGCCGGGGTAAATCCTACAAGTATAACTGGGCTTTTGCGCCTGTATTTTAGCACCCAGAAGACAGGAAAGGAAAGGAACACCAGGATGCAGGGGAGCCCCGGGGTGGAGGACTGCGAGCCTGGGCCCCTTTAGCCCAGCGTGGGCCGGTAGTCTAGTTTTTAAACAATATCAGAAATGTGGAATTGTGTGTAAGGTCTTAGATTCTTGAAACGTTGACAACAAATTAGAAAATTTTAAAGAGAACCCAACAAAAGCATCAGCAAGCCAACCTCAGCCCCCGGTACAACCTTTGTCGTGGGAAACACAGGGCCTATCATAGTCTACACCCTCAAAACACTCGATAGAAATCAGGGGTGCTAGCAGGCAGGATGCCTCTAGAAAGTGAAACCCATACTCGGAGGCCTCTGCAAGGCCTGTGTGGCTGCGGGGGAGGGCACCCGTTCTCAAGCCCGCCCCTGCTACATGATGGACATTCTCAGTGGAGAAAGGTCCAGGTGCCATCTAAGGCTGCTTCGGAGTGGTGAGCTCCTGAAGGCCCACCAGGACCCCTCCAACCCAGTGTGGTCCCCGCGCCTCTGAAAGCTGGACCTTGCGTCCTTGGGTGCCTGCCACGGCCCCTCCCCTCTGCACCAGGCCTCTTCCGCATTGGTGCTCACATCACCCCCAGAGTCCTCTGGGGCACCCTGCAGTCCAGCAGGAAATGTGGGAGACTAAAGTCTGTGCCCTGCCCCCTGCGATCCCTGCTCCTCTGGGGGGCTTTCTGTACCTCCAGGAAAAGGTGGGAGCTGCAGGCCGGTTAGGCAGCTCTACTGGCACCCTCCAGAGCACTGCCCACCTTGAGAGTGAACTTGGCTCCTCCCCTCCCCCTAACGGGGGTTGGACACGCTGCCAACCTTGGTCACCCTGGGGACTTGGGCCATTTTCTTTGAATATCTCTGGTTTCACTTGTTGCCACAAGCAGTTAGGACTTCCATAGCTTGAAAGTAAAACCCCACATAGCATAAAAAGAAAAACAGGAATGAAAAGAGTAAATATAAACACCAAGCTTAAATCCGGAAAAACGTTTGCTGTGAGAAGGGCAGGACCCAAAAGCATACGTCCTTGCCACCTGCCACACTGCAGATGTGTAAGGCCCAGGCAAAAAGGCACCTTCCGGGGCCAGCAGCTGTGTGGGCCTTCTTATTAAGCAGTCTATTGTCTTTTCAATAAAATAGAGTAAGCATCAGACACACTCACTTAAATAGAAGAATAAACATAACCAAGAGTCAATAACTTCAACCTCACTCTGGCTGTGTAAAAGATATGCCGTTTGTTTTGTTACTCATGCTTTGGTTGTCTGCCTGAAATACAACATAATGAAACAATTTTTTTTTTTTTAAAAGACATGTAGCTACCTAGATGGCAGCCAGTGGCCCAGGCTGGTCCCCAGAGTCCTGTTCACCAGGCTGACTTCCCCACCCCGGCCGGCAGTGCTGCAGGCTCAGTGGGATGTGTTCAATTGTGGACCCGCACCCGGAGACAAGTTCATGAGCACCTAACTGATCTGTAAGCGCCAACACGTTCTTTTCTTAGGGCCTTCAGAGCACTATCACAGTGGGGACTTAACTGACATTTATTCTAGTCACATAGCTTCTCTCTGTGTTTGTGTCTCTGTCCTCTCATGAGGACACCAGTCATAGGATTAAGGACCCACCCTATATCCAAAATGATGTGCAAAGACCCTATTTCCAAATAATGTCATATTAAGGTTCTGGGTGGACATGAATTTTGGGGGGACACTATTCAACCCAATACACCAGATGACCAGTTTGCCCACTACGGAGAGAAGACCTATATGATGAATCACAAAGCCCTCATCAGCCTGACCCAGGATGTGGGCGGGAGAGGCTGAAGCACAAGACACTAGCCTGTGACTTGATGGGTCTGGAGTGGAATCCACTGGTCAAGACAGTCCCCTCCCTGTCCTGCCTTGCCAAGAAAGTGACGGTGCTCACATCTGCTCGGGTGACCACCTATAATGACCACACTGAAGCACTGACCACTTCCCCAAGCTAAGCCACGCCTGTGTTGCAGATGCGGGAACAGGCTTGGGAAGGTCAAGTCAATGACCCAAGGTGTCCCTCCTGGGCTGAGGCAGAAACCCAGGACTCGGACCTTAAAGTTGACAGACACCAGAGCTGCTCTTTCCAGGCTGCCACACTGACCAGCCCCTCTGTCCACACAACCTCTCAAACAGTAGGACACCACCAATTAGGTACCCGCTCCTAAATTCTAGTCAGAGTCAGGCCAGCTGCCTCTCCGAAATTGACCCAGACCCCCTGGATGGAGGCTGGCTGTCTACAAACTCCTGAGTGACTCACTCACATGTCTCTAGGTGGACTCGGACAAACGGCTGACTATAGCCATTGTGGATGGATTTTACTAGTTTAGTTCAGAGACTAGTTTACTTCATAGTTCAGATGTATTGTAATCCCTAAAGCAACCATCAAAAAGAAAAAAAGTGTAGCCAAAAATACAACAAATAAAAATGGATGGCTAAAAAAATTCAGATAATCCAAAAGGAAGCAAAAAAAATATTTGAGAAGGAACAAACCTAAAACAGAGATGGTAGA